TTTTACGTTGTATAATACTTCTAATTATAAAAGAATTATTTTACGTTGTATAATACTTCTAATTATAAAAGAATTATTTTACGTTGTATAATACTTCTAATTATAAAAGAATTATTTTACGTTGTATAATACTTGTGATTTTAAGATAATTACTTTAGATTATATAATTCTTCTAATCATGTTTCTAAATTGCTTGAAAGTGTAACTTTGTACAACATATCACACTACAATGGAAATAAATAAGACCATCAAAAACATCATACATGGAATACGTACATTCCGAAACGTTCAAAAATGAAATGTTACCGTACATACACGTGCCAAATGTTTGTTGTTGTTGTCGTCGTACTATTGTTCATCGTCATATACATAGTACCACATTATAAGGCTTAAACAGACATTATTACAACAACAACAAAAAAAGATATGATAATAGACCGACTTTATTGTTCGTTCAATCAAAGTGGAAAGTCTGTTAAAATACAGTTAATAATATAAACTTTATTAAAATCATTTAACCTGTGTTACTTCTGGTCTTAAAATTAAAACCATCGCCAGCAGGTCGAAACGTTGTCACTCACCCAGTTTCTACAGAACAGTTGTCCAAGATCAGAGTAAGTAGGTCGAAACGTTGTCACTCACCCAGTTTCTACAAAATAGTTGTCCAAGATCAGAGTAAGTAGGTCGAAACGTTGTCACTCACCCAGTTTCTACAAAATAGTTGTCCAAGATCAGAGTAAGTAGGTCGAAACGTTGTCACTCAGACAGTTTCTACAGAACAGTTGTCCAAGATCAGAGTAAGTAGGTCGAAACGTTGTCACTTACCCAGTTTCTACAGAACAGTTGTCCAAGATCAGAGTAAGTAGGTCGAAACGTTGTCATTCACCCAGTTTCTACAAAATAGTTGTACAAGATCAGAGTAAGTAGGTCGAAACGTTGTCACTTACCCAGTTTCTACAAAATAGTTGTCCTTGGAAATTTTTTTTAAAAAGTATCTACCGTGCTCCACTTGCTGGGCCGTTCAAGTAGTGTTTGGACAGTAACAGCACTTTGAAGACGTAGCTGTGTTATAAGAGTGAGGGTCAAAGACCACTATTTGGTTAGACAGGAATAACCCAAAAGTTGGCCATTGGTGCTGTCGAATAGCTGCCTTACCTCTAGTCAATCAGTTAAAAAAAAAGGGACAGACAATCGTAGACAACCCTGTGTGTGTGACTTTGTACAAAAAATTCGGAAACATACAAACAGAAAATACATTCGTCGAAAAACACCAACAAGACATTTACACATTACACGCTTTCAGAGTACGTTGATATTTTGTATAGAGATTGTTCTTATCTGATCATATACAAGTTTAGTAAAATCTTGGTTTGGATACGTGTGGCTGCTTAACAGCTGAAAAGTGATTTTAAGCATCTAAACAAAAAAAAAAAAAGATGGTGAATCTATTTCGAATTACTGTCTCCCACATGGTTTAACAAGGATTTCAGACTAAAATTAATCCCAGACAAAGACTTACTTCGAAGAATCCATCAATGTACATGTTGATCTCTGAATCTTCGGGTTCTCCCTGAAGGTCGATGTGACGAGTCACACACATAGAATAGTTCGTCCAGGTTTTATTACGGTCTTTATTAATCCACCAGGTGCCGTCGCTGGTACAAAGTTTACTTGCAAAAGCTGTGGAGTATACGAAAAAGTAAAATAACAATGGTACTTAGAATCTTTAAACTTACTGTTATTTTGAGCTTTAATTTCAATTGTCTTATTTGATCCTAACTGCTAACACTAACAATACAAAATACTAAATAGCGATTCAAAGTGCACCCTGTTAAAAAAATACAAGTTATACAAGCATTCATTGAAATGTTTAAATGTGCCAGTTCTTTGATAAACAAGTCCGCAAGACCTTTTTCCAGTCCATACTTAAGCCTAACAAGTGAGTAGACTACGTCAATGCTCCTTAGTGGCTCAACGGTGTGAGCGCTTAGAAATCGGGTTTCGATACCTGTGGTAGGCACAGTACAGATAGTTTATTGTGTAACTTTGTGCATGATAACATATAAACAATAACTTTAATAAACATTGGCAGAAATATTAATCCAGTAGTTGCTATAAAAATAAACAAGTTGAAATTTTGATATAAGACGTCGAATTTTCAAACGGACCAGGAACTTTTTTGTTCTTTCTTAGGATTGGGCTAAAAAAAAGTGTGAAAGAACTCACCGTCTGTGTTGAATCCATGCACATAGGCAGGACAAGGGATTTCATAAAGGGTCCCGGCTGGGATATACGGCCAGCAGATGGCGCCATCCCACATCATTGGGCAGTACAACTCTAAAATGGCATTTAAAAAATTTTAGTGTATAAGACCAGACACTCATGTGTTATCAACTGTGACTGGTCATGTAAAGTAACAATCATAAGTTTATATTTAGTTGTATTATAATGTTCAAATCAATATATATATAAACCAATAGGTTCCAATCATAAGTTTATATTTAGTTGTACTATAATGTTCAAATCAATATATATAAACCAATAGGTTCCAATCATAAGTTTATATTTAGTTGTACTATAATGTTCAAATCAATATATATAAACCAATAGGTTCCAATCATAAGTTTATATTTAGTTGTACTATAATGTTCAAATCAATATATATAAACCAATAGGTTCTAATCATAAGTTTATATTTAGTTGTACTATAATGTTCAAATCAATATATATAAACCAATAGGTTCCAATCATAAGTTCCAACCATTATAAGATTAATTGTTTCTTAGATTATCTTATTAGGATATTTCTCAATCAGCTCGAATAAATCACAAAAGCATCAAGTGATAAAACTAGCAAGTAAACGTCGTTTAGTCACATTCAAACATTCACTTAGGCCTAATAAAAAGGCCTAAGTGAATGTTTGTTCTTCTAATATTAAAAATTCCTGGATAAAAACATCCATACAATGTGCATAAAGTTTCACCTAATTACGTTACCCCCAAGCCTAACGTGACCAGTCAAATAATAAAACTATTTCCACATAGAAAAGTTTCATAAACTAACCATGCCCTTTAGAACCGTAAAGCTCGAACTTTTAACGAAAGTTTAATGAATTTCCGAGTGCTTCTGAGCCGATTTGAATGACGCATTCTTTAAAGAGTGGATGAAAAAAGAGCTTTCTGTATATTTAGTCGAAGATTAATGTAGATGACAAAGTAAACTGTCTGTGAACGACAAATTCATATAGCTTTTCCAATATCCCCTACAATAAAGGTAGTAATTAAGATTTAAAAAAAAAGTCAATGGTTACCGCACGATCACACTTACGTGTGTTCTTGCTAAGCTAAGCTAAGATCCACGAACACTAGTTATATAAATAACTTGTCTTCATTAAGTTCAAGAAATAATCTTGGGTGATTTATCTTTGTTGTATATATATATATACATATATACCAGTTATAAAGCACGAGGTGTGCTCGAGAAAACTGAGATCCTGTTAGTTATTACTAAAATAAAGTCAACACGAAAGTTAATTTAGAAAGCAAAGAAGATAGCCTGCAGACACGGAAAGATGGAAGATGGCTATTGTGATTGGGAGATTGACCACGAGGCGTTCACTGCTTAATCATCATTATTACCCAAGTCTTAATGAAATATCTACTAGGAGAACGTCATCTTGGCGATTCATCAAGACTTGGACATGTTTGAAGTTTGGGTGGGTCGTTGTTTACTGACGGTTATTTCCTGATAACACGTGTCCTTTCTTACACACACACCTCCAAGCTATTAATCTAGACACATTGTACATAGATGTATATATATATAAAACAATACACTACTGATTTAACTTCAATATCCTCACGTTTATCATATTTTTTATATTTTATTTTTTCTTCATTGGAAGCCCTTCCTTTTCTTATCTTTCATTTTATAGCCATCTTACTCTTGTACAGCCCTTCCCTTTCTTATATTCCATTTTATAGCCATCTTATTCTTGTACAGCCTTCCCTTTCTTATATTCCATTTTATAGCCATCTTACTCTTGTACAGCCCTTCCCTTTCTTATATTCCATTTTACAGCCATCTTACTCTTCTTTAGTTATTTCTTACCTTATCTTCCATTTTATAGCCATCTTACTCTTGTATAGTTATTTCTTTCCTTATCTTCCATTTTATAGCCATCTTACTCCTGTATACTTATTTCTTACCTTATCTTCCATTTTATAGCCATCTTACTCTTGTATAGTTATTTCTTACCTTATCTTCCATTTTATAGCCATCTTACTCTTGTATAGGTGGTTCTAGCGAAACATTAAGAGTCACTTAAGCTCGGAGTCAAGTGTTACTAGGGAAAATATTTATAAAATTGCATCCGATATGTGGGAGTTACTTAATAGGAAGAAATAGAGGAGAGTAAGATGGCTATAAAATGGAAGATAAGGAAAGAAATAACTATACAAGAGTAAGATGGCTATAAAATGGAAGATAAGGAAAGAAATAAGAGGCTTCGTATTTAACCCCATTACAAACATGCTCCGAACCATCTAGTATCGTTGTTGTTTTTTCCTACTGCTCATCCCTATCAAAACCATGCCCCGAACTATCACGTGTTTTTTCCCACTGCTCATCCCTACCAAAACCATGCCCCGAACTATCACGTGTGTTTTTCCCACTGCTCATCCCTATCAAAACCATGCCCCGAACTATCACGTGTTTTTTCCCACTGCTCATCCCTATCAAAAAACGCTCCGAACTATCACGTGTTTTTTTCACACTCCTCATCCCTATAAAAAACCACGCTCCGAACTATCACGTTTTTTTTTTCATACTGCTCATCCCTATCAAAATCATGCCCCGAACTATCACGTGTGTTTTTCACACTGCTCATCCCCATTACAATCATCATCCGAACCATCACGTGATAGTTTGTTTTAAACTATTGTGTGCCACTTTCATACAGTTCTTCTTTCACCTTAACTAATACTTTATTTTTGCTTGTTTTTTACAGTTCTCTAGCCCCATGGTGAGACAGAGGTACATTTATAGACTTACAACGCTAAAATACAGGTCACAAAGCAAACCCCTCAACATAACGGTGCCGCAACGGTCCGTGAACCATTGCATTAAAAGTCCGAGTATACTAGCCACTAGCCGGGCCTCATGGAAGGTACTATGGAAGAAAGTGAGAATGGTGGAACAGTGTAGAACAATCACAAAGAAATAAACGCAATAGAATGATGGAACAGTGTAGAACAATCACAAAGAAATATACGGAACAGAATGATGGAACAGTGTAGAACAATCACAAAGAAATATACGGAACAGAATGATGGAACAGTGTAGAACAATCACAAAGAAATAAACGGAACAGAATGATGGAACAGTGTAGAACAACCACAAAGAAATAAACGGAACAGAATGATGGAACAGTGTAGAACAATCACAAAGAAATATACGGAACAGAATGATGGAACAGTGTAGAACAATCACAAAGAAATATACGGAACGGAATGGTAGAACAGTGTAGAACAATCACAAAGAAATAAACGGAACAGAATGATGGAACAGTGTAGAACAATCACAAAGAAATAAACGGAACAGAATGGTGGAACAGTGTAGAATAATCACAAAGAAATATACGGAACAGAATGATGGAACAGTGTAGTACAATCACAAAGAAATATACGGAACAGAATGATGGAACAGTGTAGAACAATCACAAAGAAATATACGGAACAGAATGATGGAACAGTGTAGAACAATCACAAAGAAATATACGGA